AGGGAGGGAGGGAGGGAGGGAGGGAGGGAGGGAGGAAGGAAGGAAGGAAGGAAGGAAGGAAGGAAGGAAGGAAGGAAGGAAGAAAGAAAGAAAGAAAGAAGTAATCATTCCTAGTTTATAAAGAAGGAGAAAAGACGTGTAAGAGGTTGCTATAGGATCTCAAATAGAATGTTGAATTTTGAGAAAGGATTCTTACTGGGTTAGATAAGGTATTGGTATTCAGAAAGACCTTGAAATTTTAAATTTTTTGGACCTCTGACTAAGTGGGGTGAGGTGGAGAGGTTAGATAAGCTGAGTCTTTTCAGCTATCTGAAATTTTACCACTTCTTTTTTTCCGAGCACCATTTTTTTTTTTTTTAGAATCAAAATGGCTTTTTATTCACATATTTTGTAGAAAAGGGGGTTTAGTAAACAGGGTAGAGCCGCATGAAAAACTCCGGGTTGGTCCATACTATTTACACGTGGGGTTTCCTTGCCTTCTTTGTCTATGGAACCAATATGTTTTAACTAATGGGAGAATTGTGTCCATAAACAAGCTGAACAGCCAGTCTGTAATCATTGTCCAAGGGGTAAAGCTGCAGGGTGGGGGAGGGGGAGGGGGAGTACCTTTTCCCAGTACTATTTGTCAAAGACAGCAGAAGAGTTTTTGGAGATTTTAAATGCTAAAGCAAACTGAAGTTTTGATTAGGAGGCTTAGGAACTATTAGTGTTACTGTGGTGTCCCCACAAGCTACGTTCAACACATGTAGGTATGCACTGCCAGCCATTCATGTGTGGTACATAATTGAGATATCAGTGTCAAGCTTCCAAACTCATCCCACAGTTGATATAAAACTTAAGCCCATAATTTTTATCACTACCCACTACAGATGTAGTGGCTACAGATGTAGGCTTTACAAGTGAAATGATGTATCATACAGCATAGAAAGATAAATAAGGTTTTCTTTTCTGTATTGTTCTTTTAGGTTTTAAATTTGTGTATAAAAAGATGTGAATTCCCTGGCTGGCAAGGCTGTTTACTAGGTGCTATTTTTTTCAAATGAAGAATGTTTTTCTGTCAAGTTACATTTTATGGTGAGGTACTGATGAGAAAGCTAAAGCTGTGAACAGCATCTACTTATATTTTCTTCTGCTGAGCAGAATCAAGAGATTCACCGTGGGTATACTTGACAGAGCATGCCAAGGAGGAGGGCAGGGAGAACGAGCTGTCATCCATGAGGTCCTTCATAAGCTCACTAGGCATTTACATATCTGTCATTTATCCATGGATTCAATAAATATGTAAAATATGTTTTATTTGCAAAGCAAACAGTTAGAAGTTGTAAAGGCTATATAAAAACACACGAAACTCACATCGCATTGGCAGAGAGCATACACATAACCACTAAGAAGGTTAGTACAGTTTGTAAACATCTGAAGACAATTTGGAAGCAGCAAAGAGAAAGGAAACATCACAGAAGTTAGAGGAGTGCTCTATGCGTGACAAATTTTTAAATGTCTGAAGTGCATCCTTAACCCAAATTGGAATTCTAGGGGTAGAGACAGAAGATAAGTATTTTTCATTTCTCACATGATTTCCTGTCCAGTGTTTTCTGAAAATTACCTCTTCAAGGAAGGAGACAGAACAATTATTTTCAGCAATTAAAGAGTCAGGAACTACTTGGAGAAGCTGCACCTGTGTGCCTGTAGTGGACGTATTATAGTTTGCCAACCTTGGCTCTATTCTCTTTCTAGGTGAAAACATTGTCAGCCAAAATTATTTCCTGAATCCTCTTCCAGTGAGTGAATGTCCAGGAGACTCCTTGAACTCGTCTAACTCCAAAGCTGGAGAGTAGATGTACAGTGAAAGAAATGTTCCTACTTCCATATTGCATAACAGTTTCCTTTGAGTTGATAGTTTCCGTTCTACAAGGAAGCCCCTAAAAACCCCTGAAATAAATAACTGTGACACTGTCTCTGAAACTGACCAGATTCACTAGACCCCTCCATCCCCAAATTGTGAAGACTCTCAGATAACCTAAGCTGCCTAGAAGAGGCCCAGAAGAGCCCAGCTGTTTGGAGGAGACACTGACCTGGAGCTGCCTAAAAGTTGTGCAGTGCACTTCAGGGTCCCTGCCTTCCTGAGGCGTGGCTCATACAGAGGTGGGCTTTGGTGATGCAGCTGTCTTGGAGTCATTTCTGCTGCTGTATGTATCCTCTCACTCATACTCTGTAAGAAACCCTAGTAAACTAATTGGTTCTTCAAGTTTGGCTTGAGTAATGTTCTTGTTTTTTTGTCTCCCCTACCTGGAGTGAGCTTAGCAATAGTATCACATGAAATGCTGTGATGTTGGCAAGTGGGTTGGTGGCTATGAATGATTACTGCCCAGTGGGGTGCCTACAGTCACTTTCCCAGGTGCTATAACTAGCTTCTGGCTGTGAATGACGGTAGTGGTAGTGGAGTTAGAGGCAGCAGTTGGTAGGGGATGGGGAACTGACTCATGAATCATAAGGCAGAATGGACATGAACAGCACCACCCTTGGTGTAATAGAAACATTAGCAATGGTGTGTAATACTCCAGTTTCCTGAAAGGAAGATACTATTTTAACAAATGCATATCGAGTCTTTTCATCTTCACTATAATCCCATCCCCCAAAGCCTATTATAAATTTTCTCTTTGGCAGGTGAAGAGACTGTTTTCTGAAGCCAAAATCACTTGGATGATGAAATGCAGGAGCTAGAAATTCAAATTGCACCTTTCAAAAACTGGAGTCCGATATCTGCATAAACCTCTCTGTCTTTGTGGTTATGAGGAAGGGCCTTACTAGGGGCTAACACAATTGGGAAGCACACTTGTACATATGAGGCATTCATAAACAAGAGCAAGCAATGAATGCCAAGTGGCATAAATCACGATTTGCCCAACCGTATCTTGTTATAGGCAGGGATATGTTCTGAGAGATGTGTCATTAATCAATTCCATTATTGTAGTAGTGGCTAGTTTGTTTACACAAGTGTAGATGGTACAGTTTAATCACACACATGGGCTATGTGCTGTGTCCTGCCAAATGTGCAGGCTGATAAAATGGAGACCAGAACTGACAGTGTGAGACAGGCTTTTAGAGATTCATGTATCTACTCCTGGGATTCTGAGAAGCGTGGGAGATGAATGGGAGTGAAATTGGCAGTTAGGAAAGGATGGAAGCATTTGAAGTGCTCAGGCTGGAGGTGATATCCATCTTACTCAGAAGAGGACATGTGAGCTGTGGGAGGGTGAATCAGGATGTAGTAGGACCTAACTGAATGTGTTTAGGAGTCAGAAAGAATCATCCTGAGGTTTCACATCTGGGTTTCTTGAAGGATTAGTGTGTTAAAGAAGATGGGGCATGAAGAAAACTAATAAGGGGCAAGATTAATTCAAATTTATGTGCACTGATTTTGAGGAACAGGACTTGAGAGGTGCTGCGGGCCGCAGAAATATATCATAAGAACTCAGCTGGTTATGGCAAAGTCACTACCTGGAGGAATCAGGGAATTCCTCCAGAGGAAGCCAAATCCCAAGGAGTTTTTGGTGTTACTTGGCTTGTTATATATCAGCTGTATTCTGTTATGAAAATCATGTGTGTCTTCATAGTTTTCCCAATTGATTTTTCCC